TATATATATATATATATATATATATATATATATATATATATATATATATATATATATATATATTTGACGATTGCATATGGCACTCCGTTTGCTCACACGCGGTCAAAAGCATCGGTCATCAAAACACACTTTTCCCAGAACCCCATCGCCATCTCTCTTCGCCGCCGTAGTACGGTAGAGTACGCCGTCGTTCGCACACCGGTTGAAATTCTCGTTGCAACAAACAATCTGACTCTGCTAACTTCTGTTTCAGATCCTTTGCTTTTTCATTGCATGGTCCCAGATAAAGAAATTCTAAATTCTTTGTGTACTCGAAACCCTATTTTTTATTTTTATTTTCTTTTTGATTTCCCCTCCTTTGCTTGTGATTTTCTCAAGCAGAGTTCCATCGAAAGACACAAGAACATACTGGTACGTTTCTTGGTACGTGCACGCAGTGTATTACAAAATTTCCTATTTTTGTTTTTCGCTATGGGTTTCTTTTAAAGCCAAATCGGGAAAAATATGAAAATTGGAGTGATTTTTGTGCGTATATCACACTCTGTTACATCCCTTTTTAAAATGTACTGTATCTTTTGATTGGATTGCAGTAGATTCACTTCCAACTCAAGATTGATGTGATTTTGTGAATCTATTGAAAGATTTCTACCACGTCTCACTTTTATTTTGTGCTTTTGTCATATCGCTCACTTTTGACAAAATACTCACCACTTTCGTGATGCCTTTGCAGTGAATGATATAATCTGAATGGATATTGCCGAGTTCTTTAGGGATACTGGTATTCTAGAACTGGAAACAGGATCGGTTAAATTGGAGAAAAATCTAGGTGGCGTATCAAGTCAACAAATACAAAACCATACTGATGTAACCCTAAATAAAAGGTCCAAGATTCATGGTGTAAGACAAGAAACGGAAGAAAATAGAAGCTCTAGTGGCACTAGTGTGTTGGATCAAGAACAATCACCAGCTGATGATGCAAATCTGTGTTCAACATCTCCAATATGTGCTGCACCTCTTTGCAGACAATTTTGGAAAGCTGGAGCTTACAATGATGATCTTACTCCTAAGTCCACAATTAAATGTATTCACCTTTTACAAATCACACTATCATATTTTGTGTTCCCACTTCATTCTAATGACTTGTTTCTTACATGACAGCTGGTTCTAGTTATCTACATATACACCCAAAATTTCTTCACTCAAATGCCACTTCTCACAAATGGGCTTTTGGTGGTATGTTAAGTTTTACCATTACTTTGCATAAAGTCACAACTTTTTAAATATTAACACTCTGTTAACTTGCATTTCAGCCATAGCTGAGCTTATTGATAACGCTGTGGATGAGGTAATTAGCTTCTAAATTTCTTCTTATTAAATGAAGAACAATACTATCACTCATTTGTTTTTTGTCCTAAAGTCTAATGGATATAAAAATCCGATTACTTTTTGTAGATACAAAAGGATGCCACGTATGTAATCATAGACAAAACAACAAACCAAAGAAATGGAAGCACAGCATTGCTAATTCAAGGTAACATTAAGATAATTACATTTATCATGCTTTTGAGTTTTCATATTTTGGTGCATTTTCTTTTGAGGTTGTGACACTAAAATTCATTTACTGAAATTAGATGATGGAGGTGGAATGGATCCAGAAGCAATGCGCAGGTGTTTGAGTTTTGGGTTTTCAGAAAAGAAGTCAAAATTTGCAATTGGGAAGTGTATGTTGTTCTTCTTATGCTAATGCTACTTTTATTTTTTTGTTCATTTGTTTACTTTTCTGTTTGCTTGCTTTGTTTTGTCCCTTCATTTTGATTGGTTGACTTGTAGACGTTCAGATGGAAATGGTTTTAAAACCAGCACTATGAGGCTTGGAGCAGATGTCATAGTTTTCAGCCGCTATTTGACTGACAGGTTTGACTTTTCTTTACTTCATTACATCAATAAATCTTGTTATATTTTCTATTTAACATTTTCATTCTACTCTTTTATGTTCTTATGAACAGGACATTGACTCAAAGCATTGGTCTTCTATCGTATACATTTTTAACACAATCAGGATATGACAGGATAGTTGTTCCCATGGTGAGAAATGAAAATTCACTTGTCTTAACATTTTCTTTTTGTTCACTTATTTGTAAAGATTCTAAAATGCAAAAACTTGTTATTTCTACAGGTTCACTATGAGTTCAACTTTGTGACAGGGTGTTTTGACCCCATACAAACTTCAAACTCAAACCTCTCAGTCCTCTTAAAATGGTCTCCATTTTCAACAGAGGAAGAGCTACTGAAGCAAGTATGTCCTCCATTTCTTGAAAATTACTGTGTTTTTTCAAGAAACTGTAATTTTGCTAAAATATAACGATATTCTTGATATGTATAGTTTGAAGATGTTGGTTCTCATGGCACAAAAGTCATCATATACAATTTATGGCTTGATGAGGATGGTAATATGGAGCTTGATTTTGACTCAGATCCCGAGGTTTTTCTTTCCCCACTGTATTTCTCCATTTTTTTTTGCGTTATATATATAAAATTGCTGGAAATAGCATCATACTTTCTTCTTCTTATGTACTTCATATTTCACTCATAGTAGCAATGTACTTACATTTCTTTAATATGTAACTGATAATAGAAACAAATTTATATATTTTAATTTTTAAACAACCATTAATGTGGTTATGTTTTGTTATTGATAATCTCATAATAGCAATAAAGTTTACATTGTTTACTAATAGAGTACATTGCCCAAATTGATATGAAATTGTATGTTCTGTTGCTATAATAGTTAATAAAGTACATTGAGAGTAAAAGTATGTTGCTAAATGCCAATACCTTTAATTTTCTCTTATATACATAAAAAAACATAATATTAATTTTAAATATTATTGTTTTAGGATATTTGTATTGCTTGGGATGGAAAAGGCAAAGTGAAAGAAGGGTCTCGTATGGCAGTAAATGAGCAGCACATTGCTAATCGCCTCAAATATTCTCTTCGTGTAATTTTACTACTTTTTGTTATCTTAAATATACTTTCATTATTATATATATGCACCAAATTATAAATATATATTTTGTCATGTTTCAGGCCTACTTATCTGTTTTATACTTAAAATTACCTGACACATTTGCAATGGTGTTGAGAGGGAAAGTCGTTCTGTATCATAATATTGCCACAGACCTCAAACACACAGAATTTATCATGTATAAACCTCACAGTGATGGGCGTTCAGAGGTTGTATATATATATTTTTTACAAATATTTCTTATTTTATTATATTCCCAGAAAACTTATATTTACATTTTTTTTTAATTGAATTTGGTGATTGATTCAGGGTACAGTGATTACAACTATTGGGTTTGATAAGGATGCCCCAAATGTGAATGTCCATGGTTTCAATGTCTACCACAAAAACCGTTTGATACTGGTGATTTGACCGAGTTGACTCTTTTTTTAACGTAATTTGAGGATTTTTTAAGAAAAGAAAAATTATTTTGGTTTTTTTTTTTGCCAGCCATTTTGGCCTGTTGTGATCTTTGCTGACAGTAGGGGGAGAGGTGTTGTTGGTGTTCTTGAAGCAAACTTTATTGAACCTACTCATAATAAACAAGATTTTGAGAAAACTTCTGTTTTTCAAAAACTTGTTTCTCGATTGAAAGAAATGACATGGGAATACTGGTAAGCAGTTTTATCTTATTAAAGCATAATACTTTTAAAAATCTAACCAAATTATACAATGAAAGTTGCTTTGTATTTTGATGACATTGGCATTGCTATATTTGAGTAGATTTTTCAAAGTACAATGCTGTAATCATAAGAAATGTAAGTAATAAACAAATAAATGGAAGATTTTGATGTGAGAGTGATTTGACAGGGATTATCACTGTGGATTGATTGGGTATCAAATCAAGAAAAAAGCAAGACCACCATCAGAAACCCCTGGTTCTTCTAATTTTGTTCATCAGCATGTTATGGATCAATGTGTTCCTAGGAAACGCCTTTCAGAGCCAGGACCGGGACCCACTAAAAAACCACCATTGATTGCTACTGTAAACAACAAAGCTGGTTATTATTCTAATTCCTCTTTTCTAAAGCCAGTGGAATTGATACCCAACTTCCCTAAAGGGTTTGAACAAGGTAAGAAGTGAACAAATACAAATTTCAGTTTTGTTAGTTTATTTTAGCCCTCTAATCTTTACATTATTAATCTGTTTTAAGGATTCTATCCTTTTCATTATTAAATCTCGTGCTTGTTTTGTATAGTGGCAAATCAGAAAAGGAGAGAGCAGCGTGAAAGGTTCCAGCCAGAGGCCCGGATGGGGACAAGGGTACTTTATTTTTTATTTTTTTTCTGATATAAGAAGTTATTTTTATTTTTTAGTATCATTTTGATTTTTTTTTTTTTTATATGTAGAATGATTTGGTAAACAATGGAGAGGCAATGAACGTGATAGAAGAAAACAAAAGGCTCAAATCCCAGTGAGTATTATTATTTCATATAACTGATCCCTCTCTCATCGGCAATGTTTTTAACATTTTACATGTTTCTTTTTTCTTTCAGATGCTTGGAGTTTGAAAAGGCAGAAAAAGAACTCGAGTACAAGGTATTCCAGCAATGTTTGACTTTTGTTGACCGGGTTTTTAACCATTGATTATTGATATATTGATATATGATGTGATTGATTTTATGTATGAATGGATGAATGGCAGGTGATGCGGCTTAAAAGGGAACTAGGAGATGCCGAAAGAGAGTTTGCTGGTTTGTTGGCTGAATTGCAGCATCTGGAGAAAGTCAAGGGGGAAAATTAAAAAAAACTAGTAGGCGGCAGGTGTAAAATAATGTGCAATGTATTTGTGTTAAATAATAATTTCTAATTTAGGAAAATCCTTTTGTTCTATTCCAATCCTTTTGTTACAAGCTTTGAAACTTGGATCTCGTAGGCGTTGCCACTTTTGATTAACATTCGTTTAGTTTGTAAACATTGGTTTATTTCTGATGGATATGGTACCTCTGACGACTTTGGTTTTCTTATCAAAATATTTGATTTTCGTCTTTTGATTACATTTGATTAGTAACATTCAATGTTCAAAAGCCTTTTTATCTAGGAGCATTTCGGGTATCCATCCTAGCATTTAGCCCACTCCTAGTCCCTATCATTAGAATAATGTTGAAAAAAAAAAAAAAAAAAAACTCATTGAATCTCACGTGAAATCTATATGCATTTGTTAAGTCGATGAACATCATGTAGAGATATCTATCTTATTCGTTAACCTAGCCTTGCATACTTTTTTAATAACTTCATGGCATAACTAAGCATTTTAATAAGGTTTCCATTTCTATTGAATGGGAAGCCACCTAAGGTCGAAACTCGTGAGATTCGAACTTGAGACCCACTTTATTTTAGGATTGATTACTGCTGTACCAACTTTTCTTGTCTTAACCGAGATTTTATATTTAGAGTTGGACACGGAAACCGGATACTCGGTTCGGATAATCCGATCCGCCGGATCATGAATCTACACCCAAAATTGGATTGGCCCGGATCGTAAACCGGTTTATTCAGAATCCGGATCCAAAACTGATCAGAACCGGATCGGATTCTTGGTGACATCATCCGATCCGAACCGGATCGGATCGGATTTGCCAAATGTGCATCTCTACTTATATTTACACACTTCAAAAAAGTTCATGAATTGCTTATAAAGGGTGTTTGTTTTTGTAATGCTGGATGCTAGAACCACCGTAGTCTAAACAATGAAATCAAAGTAATGAGTCGATCTTTATTGCTCAACTATATTTTACAATGATACTTTAAAAAAAATCAGAGTTAGGATTAATGAAATTATGTACATGGTATTGGTATCATCTTATTAACGATATCTATATTTGTTCAGAATTTGCTAAAATGGTTTTTGGTTTAAGTGAGTCATCTAGTTACTCCCAAAACGGCACCACCAATCCATTACTTATGTGTTATAATATAATATTAATATTGTACGGGCAGGCCACCACCGACTCTGCAAGTTGCACCACCACCCTGCCCGGCTGCCCCTGCCCCTAAACCCTACCATAAATAGCAACACCTATCCACACATTTCTTTGCAGCCTCCATTCACCTTTCTTCATCTCTTTTGGCAATGATTTAGATTTCATGCCTTTTTCAGGTTTTTGCTATGCAGTTTCAGTTTTTAGAATTAATTCCTTAATGTTTCTTTCCATTTATATAATTTGTTTCCTCCGCTGCTTTTGTAGTAACTTACCATTTTTAGAAATAGTACAACTAGATTTGCTTTAAGTACAAGTTGAATATTTTTCTGCAAAACACTTCCATCCGCATGCGACGTGTTGTGGGCACTGCGGCCATATTCTTGCGGATATTATTGCGATTTAAACATGTATTTTTGTATGTGTTTATTGGCCTTCTTTCCTTTTTAAGAAAGATGGATGTGTATATATACTCAGCGTCAATCATTTTCTTAATTTACAGGCCCACATTATTTATTTATTAAGAGAAGCCTTATGTTTTAATCGATATTTTTTCTGTTTGAGTTTATCTAGTAAACAAGTTATTACTTTTTTAAGTATTAAATTGAGTTTTATGGTTGTATTTACTTAGATTTGATTGAATATTTTTCTGCAAAACACTTCCATCCGCATGCGACGTGTTGTGGGCACTGCGGCCATATTCTTGCGGATATTATTGCGATTTAAACATGTATTTTATATGTGTTTATTGGCCTTTTCTTTTTTAAGAAGGATGGATGTGTATATATAATCGCATCCATCATTTTCTTAATTTACAGGCCCACATTATTTATTTATTTATTTATTAAGAGAGGGGTTATGTTTTAACTTTTAATCGATGATAATTCTCTCTGTTTAAGTTTATCTAGAAAACAAGTTCTTACATTTTTCAAGTTTTAAATTGAGTTTATTTTTGGTTATATCAAGTTTAAAGTGAACTTAGATTTGCTTGATGATTTTGTTTGAGTCCAAATAAAGAATGTTAATGTTGAATCTTGAGAATAAAAGAAATATCTAGTTTATAAAGTTGTATCTCCTAATGATAGAAGAAAAACTAAGTTTCAACCTTATCTGAATATCTTTGTTGAGATCTAACTCTTACTTCTGAGGGAGATTTAATTTTATACATGTACACGATGTTATTTTAACCTTTGGTTTATCACCTTAAACACACATATGTATATGTGTTTGCAAAACTTTTCTAGATTATAATCCATAATGACTTGTTTTAATTATAAAATCAAATACTTACAGAATAATGAACAAAAGGTAAAATGGCTATCAATATTGTTTTAGTCAAATCACAAAAACAATATACGTCTTTAGAAGCTATGGAGAAACGAGGATATTTTCAATCAAACTCCTTAACCAGAAGGGTAGGATAGTTTTAACGAATATTCCCAAGAATTATAAAAAGAATCTTTAGTATCAAATAGATAGATGGTTAAAAAAACACAAAATTTAAGACCATAGTTATTCACATAGTTTCTAAAACTAGACACGCTGATGTGGAAAAAGAAGGAACGGGAACAATGATCTCGACCTTGACATTGGATTAAGAGATAACACCATGGTATTTTGAAGACTAGGGGAAAAAGATTACTTCCTAAAAACACACTAACCGGATGTAGATTGCCAAGTAGAGGGACAGCCATCTCAGTCGACATCAGAGTATGCGATAGGACCTATAACGGGGGAGCCATGAAGTTGTAAAAAAATGGGCTAGAGGGCCTTGAACATTCCGGAAAATGCATTTTTGGGTACTATACTAAAATGGGCTAGCGTGGATCATGTGCAAGTGGATTAGTCCTGGAAACCATTGAAATGCATTAACTGCGGTGAATTCGACAATCAAGTGCTCGAGAAGAACATGACTCTTTACTTGATTAAAGGAATCATGTAACCCAAACAGAAAATGCATAAGTTTGACTTTTGAGTGATCGTTAAACTTAGTTGCAACCTCACAAGTACACTCAGCTAAGTTCATAAGACCATCAAATTCAGCTAAGTTCATAAGACCATCAAATTCCTTCCACAGATACTCAAATTTATTAAAGTATAAGAGAGACAAGAACCACTCTGAGTAAAAGAGTTGATTCGTTGGTGAATGTTGAAAATAACATAACCATCAGACTTATTATAAGTCTCAAATAATTCATTCCAACCTTCCTCTAGACTCGAATAATTCATTCCAAACTTCCTCTAGACTGAGAGTAAGCATGACTAGAGTATATAGACTCAGAGAGAGAACAAAGAATCCAAGAACAGATTATAACGTTAACATGTTCACACTTAGAAATTTTGATAAGATCAATTGTATCATTTTTAATAGTCTCGTCTAAAAACCCTAATTTAGTTCGAGCTTTTAGACTTCTAATCATAGAGCTACGCCAAATACGAAAGTTTTCGGTCCCAGTAAGTTTAATAGTAACTATAGTAGTCACATAATTATCAGATGGGTGAATATACAAATGATCATCAAAATTAACAGATTCTGCCTTACTTCCACTATATGATTCATCCGTTGGACCAACCATATTATCAACAACCCATCAACAACCAAGAAACACAATAGCATTTAAAACACACACCAAAAACACAGACCATTATGATAGCCTTAATGTTCACATGGTCACCACCGTACGTCGGGGCCCAAGACAACAATCACAGAGTCGAGAGAAAAAACAACAACAATAGCAGATAGCAGACAAACAAATAATTGGTGTACTCAAGACCAGGGCCGGCCCGATACATGGGCGAGATAGGCCGAGGCCCAGGGCATCAGATCTGAGGGGGCATCATTTAGTCATGTGTTAACGATGTATATAGCAGTTTGGTCCAAAAGATTTAGCCCAACTTTTGATTTCTGTTCTCCGACGCTAGGCTGGAGGCAAGGTAAAAAGCGTGCAATCGAACCGACGTTGGAGATGTAATCGACATTTTTGATAAGCTGATTGTCGATCGACGCCTAGAAAAATGAACTTTGTTGAAGATCGAGGAGTCGACTTCTTCTCTAAATCTAATTTCTACTTTTTGATTTCTCTTTCTCCTGTATCTGATTACTGATTTGGCGATATTTATGAGTTGGGGTTTGAACAAACTTTGTCGTTCTTTGTATTTCTTATTTTTCTGATTCCTAATTATAAGTTCTCCTATTTTAGTATTTTATCACTATTTCTGTTGGAGTTCGATCGTTGAAGTTGTATACTTGGCGATCGTCGGTTCAAACTTCAAAGCCATCACTTAAAGAGGTAATTATCGGTTCTATTCTTCTATTTCCGATTCCCAATTTGTTCGGAATATATCAGTTTTGTTTGAAATATGCATATTTGATATCATATTTGTTTGTTTGATTATAGTAGTTTGGTTCAGGATATTTAATTTTTAATTTCTTGGGGTTTGATTCAGGAGTAAGACTGTAAGAGTTGAAATATGTGCTTAATTTTTTTAGTTCAAAATTAGGAGTTGCTATAGGCATGATTTTTGTGGTATGCTTCAGGTATAAGTTCTATGGTTTTATGTATGAATTTCAAGAGTTCCAATCTGAATTTTTATGGTTTGTTTATGTTATTAAGGAGGTATACTTTTCTATTGAATTTTGAATTTTTGATTATTTTGGATATATTGAGGTATACAATTTTCCATTGTTATTTGTTGCTATCAGACATAGTTTTTTTTAATTGATCTATATTTATGATTCTATGATTCATTTTCCATATCACTTACATATTGAAACTGAAAAAACACAAACTTTGGTAATTTTTTTTGGTTTTGAAACAACAAGGGTAAATTAGGAAAGATATTGATAACATTGTATGATCTCAATAACTCAATAGCATTGACTTTAGTTTGTTTTTTTTTCTAGTTTAGAGATAGCAGGGGTTAATTAGGAAA